GGAGGAAGCATGGAAATTTATGTCATGCTAATTAGTAGAGGTTATAAACATTACCATTGAAATCTACCTGATGACTTTATATCCACATACAGGTGCCAAGGATCCGAGTGCAACTAGTATTACCAGTAATAATCAGATACATACAGATTAGATATGCATGCGCCAACATCTAAATGCTATTAGCAAAAGCAATGAATCTTTCTGTAAGAAACAGTATATTTTAGAATGAAATGGAGATCTTTTTTGAGGGTTAAAAACCCATTCAATTTTATGTCTTACAGGGCTTATACTGAGTTCAATATTGTATAACTGTATTAATTCAACTGTGAACCTAGAAACTTGCAACCACTTGTGAAAGAGATGTACTCTTGCTCTGGAGTGTGTTACTTCATATGTTAAAGTTATAGTTGAAATGCTTCTTCTAATCATGTAGTTATTAAAAATTTAAAAAGAGGCTTAAGTGACAGATGAAATTGAAGAATATTTTATTATAAGAATGAGAATCCTTCAGAGGTATTCAGACACCCAGACTTTCCCCAACTGAGTTTTAAACTCACCAGACATGATCTCTGGACAACTGAGAATAGCTGCCTGGCTCCCTGGTGACAGTGAAGCATGGCCAGCCTTCTCTTCTATCGCTCTTTCATCTCCTCTTTACTGGTAGCTCCCTTGAGTGACCAAATCAGGGCGTTCACCCCGAGTCTATGCCTTGTGTGTGCTGAGGAGAGCAGGAGGGATTGGAATGTAATGTGGACTGGAATTGGGAAACACCCTAGTCTGCTATTTAATAAAGACAATGACGGAGCTAATTAGGGGATTCAGTGGCCAAATTTGGGTGTGGATTATCCTTAGTGCCTTTCTAAAGAGGTTGAGTGCCCTAGATACCCTGGATAGTGGGAAATACACAGCACTTGGGTTTAGAATTGTCCGGGGAGGACAAAGGAGCCACAGCAGAGCCAGCAGCAGCACGTGTGTACTACACCTGGAAGCGAGAGTGACGGTGTGTTCACTGCAGAGAGGGCCCTTACTCTTCCTCTGCTTTCTTTTTTCTTCTCATTTGCATGGTAAGAGAGAGAGGTAGACTTTATATCCCCTCATGAAATTTAGTTTATAAAAAAGAACATAGTGGAACAGGGGGTAGAGTGAACACCAATGCATCTCTCAACTCTCACCAGGGAAGTTTCCTCATGTAATGGAGTACGACACACAGATGGCCACAACTGGCCAAGGTGTAGAGAATAAGAGACTGCAGGGTGCATGCTCCTGGACAGGACTCCTATATTAAATCTCACCCATTCACGGCTTAGGGACCATTGCAGAAGAGGGGGCAGAAAGGTTGTAAGAACCAGGGGTGGTGCATGGCCATATGGAAACAGACTCAGACGGACTCCTGGGACCTTGTTCATAGGAACTTACAACAATGGTGACAGCATGCACAAGACCTATGCAAACTCGATCAGACAAAATCCCAGCATAGAACTGGGGAAAAGGGCAGCAGGTCCCAACCTTAGCCAAAGAGCTATTGGCAGCTGATTACTGCTGGGTGAGGGACAGTTGATATTTTTTTAAAGGAGAGACGCTAGATAGGCTGACTAGATACCAGTGGATGAACTTGCATTGAGAGACATCTGGGTACAAAAACTTGACTCAGCAGGCCTTAACATATATGACAGAATGCATGACATCCGGTGGGGGGGTGCTGTGGGGGTATGGATGGAGGAGGGGTATAAAGATAATTAAGATATTTTGTATGAAGTGCATAAAAATTCAATAAAAATATACATTAAAACAAAATAAAACAATCCTCCTTCTTCCCACCAAAAAGCAAAAAGCAAAAACCAAAAAACCAAAAATAAAAATAAAAAAAATAGAAGAGTAGCTTGATTAGAAGGATGTCAAGTTTTCTGTGTGGATAGGGATGACTTATATAAATAGACCCATAGCCATAATCCTATAGACTGCAGCAAGTTTCAGGAACTGTGTCATTGCTGGTAAGGCCAATGGTTGTTGGGCTTTGGTGGGTTTCAATTTGTCATGTCGACTAGAAGACTTGCTAAGATGGGAAATAGAAAATGATGATTTAGTTTATGTGACATATTGCCTTCTTCAAGGTAGTGCTTACAAAGTTTTCACTTGATGAAATGAGATGAAGGAGACAGGAAATCCTCATCATGCAATGGGGTGTGTGTCAAATTGTAATTGTCTCTCCCAGTGTCATCTATCATTCACCATAGATATTTCCATTTGCTCTATTGAAATGTTTGGAAGCCCCTTTCCCATTTCCAGCTTTGAAAACCACTGCCAAGGGTAATGCTCTTTTCAAGGGTTTAGGGCAGAGCCAGTGTTGGGAGCTACTTACACAGATGTGAAAACACCTACGTGGTAACTGACAAAACTGCTGATTACATTGAAATCAGAAGGCTAACAAGGAGGAAGGACATGCGAGCATAATGTGGGGTAGAGGCTAAAAAACTTCTTCAGCTTTTTAATTGTTTTGAGTTTCATCAGACACCCTCCACAAATGCTTAGAAAGAAAAATTTCTCACAGGTATTTTAACCGGGGGAGATTTGTAAAAGCACCGGGTTCAATGTATACCAGATTTTTGGTGTTCTGGATCAATCTGTAAAGAGAAAGGGGAAAACACTTAGTGGTTTAGTAGATATGTTGTTGGATGGTACGAGTCTGTGACCACCAGGCATTCCTGGCTTTAATGTTCATCAACAAAATCAAGTAAATGTCATATGCCTAAGAGCTGTTCCTGAAACTCTGGGGGCAGAAATGGCTCTCTGAGGGGCCAGTCTGCTATTGCCAGAAGCTCTGAACAGCCCTTCCAAGGAGGCAGGTGCAACATTGTAGCTGGGAGTGTCTCTGTACAACTCTACTCCCTCCTCTCCCCATCAGATAGCACCAGGGTCCAAGGCTCTTGGCCAAGTCATGAGCATGGATGCTGTAGAACCGCTGCACTGCAACTGACAGGAGATGCTGCTCTCAGGAATGCACGAGTGAGCCACTGCCCCTAGTAGGCAAACTGGTTCGGTTCAGGTTGAGTTGGCAAGCACACTGAGCAGTTATCCAGATGGGCACCCATTCACAACAGCACTGGGCAGAGTTCTGGGGATTTAGATTTCTGGAATCTTAAGCTCATTCTGCTGATTATTTGCTATGTGGTGATTCCCACCTTCCTAACTTCCCTGAGCTAGCATTTTTTTCCTTATAAAATAACAATAAAAACATTACATACTGCTTCTGCCTCACCAGTTGGTGTGTATTGAGTAATAGAATAGTCAGGAAGTCCAAGGCAGGGCTTTGGAAAGCCCAAGAATGTACCAGAAAAGCCCAGTGCTGTTGCAGCCCTCTGACATTCCAGGACTGGGACCATTTACTGTAACTCTTGCAGGATCCTATCTACTTTGCATCTAGCAAAAGATCTATGAATACCTGTGGCTTTCTTAACCAGGGGGAATAACGACCTCAGGCCAAGGTAATTTCCCTGATCTACAGAGAAAAATATAGTGTGGATCAGCTGGGAATCTTCACTAAGAGCCAGCTTGGGTTTCTGTGCTGGTTTACTAATTTTATGACCTTAGATATACCATTTAAAGCTGTTTGTGCTTTGGTTTCTTCTTAGGGTGTTTTCTTTCTATTTTTTTTTTTAGGTTAGCATACAAAATACTAGAATTTTGCATACAAATTTAGCATACAAAATCACAGAATCTTCATACATATGTGTTACTGTATTTGGTTCTCAAGCAACCCCCTTCCCCACTACATCCTCCTGGTCCTCCTATCTCCCACCCCCACCAACTAGCTCTCTTTCTCTCTCCAGTTGGTACCCCTTTTTGCTTTCTTTTTATGTGTAGTCCTTTGTTGGAGTGGGCACTGAGGGGTAAATGTGACTGTCTATTTCATGCTAAAACCTCTACCAGTGTTAATGGTAACAATGTCCTGAAGTTAGGAAGTTGGGTGATTTATCTCTAACCATGCAGCAGAACTTGAATGGGCCCAGTTTTTCTGACTTTAAATCTAATGTCTATTGCTCCTTTTAATGCCTATTGCCCCTTATAATGGGAGAATAGGCTCTGATTCTTCAGAGGTGACTTGTGTTTTGTGGGAGCTATTTTTCTATGAGTGAGTCAAACAATCTGACTGGACATTATGTATGTGAGATGGAAGGGTCTTTACGATCCTTTGGCATCTGACCATTCATAGAGTCACTCCTTCTACAAAGTTATTGAGAGCCCACGTATATCAAGGATTGTCCTGATAGGGAAGATACCACTGTGGGCAAAACAAAAACACTAAATGGAGCTAGCACGAGAGTCTCGGGGCCTTCCTCAGGAACCCACAAACGTCTGTAGAGAGCTTTATTTTCCTTTCTGTTTATGTTTTGCTTTTCATCATAAGAAACATTATCACTTGTACCTGGTGTTGCTTCAGCACTATCTGGGAAGTCTGTTAAAGCTGCAGATTGTCAGGTCAGGTTTTGCACTGTTGTCTACAACTAAAATGGACCACGTGTAAGTCTGGACTATATCTTTGGATCTTAAATATCCATTAATTGTGTTTTCCTGTGAATGTTTGGTGAGTTAGTCTCACCTCGCTGACTACACTGTCAACTCCTGGTGGATATTTGTATTCTTGCTCCTCTATGTTTCAGAAGAACTTGGCCTAGGATGAGCTCATGGAAGGTTCTAACATACTTATGAAGCAGTCCATTTAGATAATTACTGACTGGATCATTGATAGAAGTCTTGTGGTATAGTACAAAATACATGAGCTTTGGAGAAAGATGGGTTGGGGTTCAACTCCAGTCCTGCCATCTTCTATAGTGACTCAGTGTCAAGTAGCATACCTTTCCAGGCCTCCATCCCTTTCCCTAGACAAAATGGTAATTTTCTAACTAAGCAGGGTGACTTCAAGAATCAATGACACAGCAGAGGAAATGCCAATCACAAGAGCTCAGAAGTACGTGGTGCAAATCCCTTCCTTTCCTTTTGACTCTGCTGCAGGAGAATTTGAAGGCACTGCCAGAGCTCAGGAGGGAGCGTCCTGAGGCAGTATGAGGACTATTTGGAAGTCACATGACCTGGTGTCTAGTCCAGCTCTGGCACTAACTTGCTGTATGACATTAGGCAAATCTGTTAAGCTTCTGGGGCCACAGGTTCATTGCTTGGAAGCTGTATCAAGTCAGTCTTTTCCCTTTTTCTTGGTAAACTTGAGGGAAATGATAATTTGGAAAGGTTTATTTTGAAGACTAAACATAACAATAACCATACCAATAAAGCACAGTGAACATTCCCAGGCATCACACAGGGCTTTTCATGGTAAGTATTTAAGAAGCACTTACTTAAAGAATGAATATGCCTCAACAGCCCCCAGTGAACCAACTCACGATTGCTAAGCTCCTTTTGAAAGTTTCCACCTACTCCAAGTATTCCATACCCTCCCTTCCATAAGGCAAGAGCTACTTGGCAGGACTTCACAACGTCAATTTTAATTTCCAGCTTTGTGTTGTGATGTTTCAGAGTTTACACAGCTCCTAGGGAGAAGCAGTTGTCACCATGGCAACTTCAGGCCACTGCAGTGAGAGAAATTAGTGCCTGCCCAGACCTAGTAATTGCTGTAGTCTTTTCCTCTTGGATTCCTAGCACTGGATGCTTGAATACAAATACCGAGCAGTCTCCAGCCAGTGAGGGTAATAGCATATAGCAATAAACTATCTGTTAGCTGTTGCTTACATTTCGGACAAATTGAGGAGGTTGTCAAAGGCATTAGCTTCTATCCTTTGCAAGGAATCACTCTGAGAGATTTCACTAGGGGAGAGAGAGAAAAAAAAAAGAAAAGAAACATAAGAGAAATGACCATGCCCACATGATAATGAGTTATGTGTGTGACCCAAGAACTACATGCTCCACTGCATCCTATGAGAGAGAACAGGAGCGTAGAAGCTGTCCCTACATTGTCAAGGGCTAGCATCTCCCTTAAGAGCACTGATGGGTGTCTGTCACCCCAATGCACTTGAATTGTGAGCTTTAGTCACCCCCATTTATATGATTGTCTTTGTTTATCTGTGACTCTGAATCATACATTCATTGTTGGAAGTACATAAGCCCTTTGAGAAAATCTGATCAGGGTCCTTTGTTTTATAGCTTTGGAAATGCAAACACCCTAATAGAATTTACGTGAAGGTTCAAGACTATGATCTTGATCTCGGAGGACGCTGTTCCATCACTTCAGTGAGGCATTAATTTGGATTGGATCAGTTGTTTCATAACTTCTAACCCTTGGTTTCTCAAAACTCTCTTCTGAGGTTATTTCAAGGTAGTCAACTCCTGTGTAAGGTACCCATCATAGATTCTAATTATCTTTTTTCTTGAGTGTCTCTTTTGGTGAGCAAGTTGAAGACAAGGAATATTTTATATTACCTTCTGAGTCCCTGGTGACTTTATATTGCATGATACACTGTTAGAGACTGAGTAGATAAATCAATGAATAGACTAATAATAATTACATGTCTTTCTTAAAAAAGGCACAAAAGTAAAAGAATCAGTTTTATCATATATCAAACTCAAGCATGGAAGGAATGCCCATTTGGTCTAAAATCCCAACATAAACTACTTTTTGCTGCCAAACGAGAAAAAGAGTCTCAAATTCACAATTGTAGCCTTGTGTGTTTCTAAGGTTAATGCTCACTGAAGTCTTCAGACTCCATGAAAGCTTCAGCTCACAGAAAGGCAGAGCCTAAGGCAACAGCACTGTAATAGATGTCTCCTGAGCTGATTTGCCTTATCCCTAATGGTTTGCTTATTTAAGTGTGGCTGCTTTTCTTTTCTTAGCAGGAAGTCTTAATGCATTAAGAGTTACCAAAACTCAGCATTTAAACTTAAGAGTAGAGGAGCATACGTCAGGCTCTTGTAAGTGGACAAGTCTACAACTTGAAGTGATTTTCCCATAATATACACTATTCTTGAGGAGTTATTTTTATTTTTTAAGATTTTTTTGTTTATATATATGTCTATGTGTGTGTATGTGCACACATCTTGCAGGTACCCTTGGAGGCCAGAAGATGGCGTTGAACCCCCTGGAGCTGGAGTTTCGGGCAGTTGTGAGTCACTCAGCATGGGTACTGGGAACAGAACTATAGCCCTCAGCAAGAGCAACAAGAGCTTTTAACTGCTGAACCATCTTGCTAGCCCCGATGAATAATTTTTAATATTATCATTGCTTGTTAATACCTTAAGGAACTGCAGAGGTTCCCTAAAAAACTAAGGTTGACAGCATAACATCGTTTCTGTGGATGCAAGTCTACTTTGATAGTGTCTTGGATTAAGATTAGAGGTGGTCTATGGGAAGGAAATGGCCTCTGAGGCCATTTGGCTAGGGTAATGTGTTAAGGAGGATGCCGAAAAATTCCCTTTCCTAGAAGGTTTTCTATCTATGTATGAGGTCTTTGGCTTTAGAAACTGAAGCTGGGGAACAGATGATTGAAGTCCCATCTGACGAGCATGAGATCATCCTGCATTACTGGCTGCTTTACCCTTTTGGTTCACACCTTTCATCAATACCACTATAAATACTGTGTTTTTGTCATGCACTTACTATATTTTAGATACAATGATTATCTTCTGATACACAATAAAGTTCCAACATATCTGCATCCATGTGGGAGTTATCAAAAAAATGTGGCATTAGGGAATAGCTGCTGTTGCAGAAGGGAATTTTTATGATTGGATCTGTCTCTTTTCTACTTAAAAAGAATATCATCGCTTATCAAAATGCATTCAATTCTTTGAAGCAAGGTTAATTACCTGGATTTTAATGACTCTTGTAAATCATACCATTTCTTCAAAGGCTGCTAGATATTATTTGTATTATAAAGATAAAAATAGTTGGGTTTCCTAAACACAATTTCTCTCCTAGAAAAAATTATCTCCTTTCAACTATGTTTTCTCTTAGAAAAAATTCATTATTTCAATTATAAATGTCTTTTGATATGCAGTATCTTACTTACATTTTTACGACCTCATTAAGTCCTCTGAAAGCGTGAGATGGGATTACTTTGACAGGGAGATAGGTGAGTGATCTAGAAAAGAAAAAAGGAAAGGCAAAAGTTTAGTTTGTGTGTGTGTGTGTGTGTGTGTGTGTGTGTGTGTGTGTGTGTAACTATAGAATTAACAACTGAATTCAAGTTTAGAAGTCTAACATCAGTAAGAGATTATACCATGAGCCATTCTTGGCCTTTTTCAAAATGTTTAATTTGGTGGTTAAGATTATGAATGTTGGCGTCAATTCCCCACCGTCCCCACTACCTGGTTACACAGCCTGAGCATGTCATTTAAGCTGTTTCAGCAATAAAACAGGAATAATAATTCCTATCTCATGGGATTGTTGTGAGCTTTAATCAAGACAGTCCAAATTAGAGCTTAGTACCCAGTAAAGAGTTACAAAATGGTTCTGAAGTTACCCTCTAGGCTTGGTTGTAGAGATAGGCAAGAAGCTATTTGGAGTAGAGTGAGGAGACACATGTTAAGATGGCAGTCAAAACCCTGTAGGTGGGAGAAGGGACACTTCCCTGAGAGTGTGCTCCTGTCTCAGCTCCTGTTACCTTCCCCAGGCAGCTGATATCAGTATCTCAACTAGTGCTTTTCCCCTGTGGTAAGTCACCTGGGCATCTTGTGCCATTTGGGGGACTATCTATAGGATATTTTTCTTCAAACACAGCCATAGGATCTACCTAAGTATTCTCAAAATTGTCATAAAAGCTGTCCAAACCATGTGTTGAGAAAAGAAAAATAACCACAGCAAAGCCAGCCCGAGATGACATGTGAATGTTAAAGGAATCTGATGTAAGATGTGCTGGATATCTTCAGTTGTCAACTTGACATACCTGGGAAGAGGGACCCTCAGTTGGGGAATTTGCTGTGGGCATGTCTGGGAAGCATTTTCTTGATTGTTGAGCCTGATGGGAGGGCCCAGCCCACTGTAGTTTATGCCACCCTTGGACAGGTAGTCCTGGGTTGTATAAGAAAGCAGGCTGAGCATAGGCTAGTGGATCAAGCCAGTAAGCAGCATTCCTCTGTGGTCTGTGCTCCAGTTCTTACTTCCGGGTTCCTGCTTGAACTCCTGCCCTGGCTTCCCTCAATGAAGGACTGTACTGTAAGGTGAAATAAACCCTTTCCTCCTCAAGTTGTTGCTAGTCATGGTGTTTATGACCACAACAGAGAAGTAAACTAATACATGAGATAACTCAGGAGAAAGCTTCTGAAGGTATGGATGAACACTCTACCATTTGGTGACGACTTGAATGGCTTAAGATTTTGGCCCAAGAGTGGCAGGGAGGAAGGAAGTGGATTAAGCTATTTCCCATGGAAACAAATATCAGGCACATGTGAACACAAGTGATACTGCCTGGTTACTCTTGTGTCTGAGCAGCAGGAACACCTTAGCTACCAGGAAAGATTATTTCCTGTTTAGGAGCAGACTTCAGTCAATGAGTTATTGGAGACTTGCTGACCACATAAGCTGCCATGTGATTTATGCACATCTACCTATAACTTGTTTAATCCACTCAACAATGGGGTGAAGTGGATATTTCCTTCTGACAGCAGATGAAATTGGGTCACGGGGACTGAATAAACTGACCGGAGCAATAACCAAGCAGGCTCTGAATGCCCTTTCTAGTGGGCTGTCCTGGGCTGAATAAAGCATGTGACTCCTAGCCCATTCTCTTTCAGTGAGTGAAGAGGAGGGACAGGCACTGCACCTTGCTTCTTTCTCTTGGAAGGAAGCACATCCTACCTACCCTTTCCGTTCCTCTTGCAAAGCTGTTTACCAGCAGTTCCTACCTTGGAGAAAATACAGAGGAGTTTTAGAAATTTCACTTCAGAAAAATGCTTTCCTTCGATAGTTTCTTAGAGTAGACACCATAGAAGAAGTAATGCAAACCTGTTTCTCTAATTCTACTCTTGAGGACAGTCTCACCACATACTTCTACCTTGTATTGTTTAACAGGGGATCTGAGAGGAAAGGAGGGACGCTGGAGGGAGAAATCTGGCCGTGGTGTGTTTATTTCCTATATTTCTCCTGGAATCATGTCTGCTTGGCTTACTGATTAAAAACACAGTTTTATTGCTCTCTGCACTGCCAAGCCAATAAATTTCCAGAAGAGAAAGCTGTATTCTGCAGTACCCCATGCAACATCAATAAAACTGACAGCCAAATTCTGATTCCAGAATCTTTATTGCTAGGGATAATGCAGTGCAGAACATATTTTGGAAAGTGTTTACATAAAAGCTTCAGCTGAACCCTTCAAAGCTGTTTATTCATGAAAATGGAGCCCAAAGCCGACACCTCCGGGCAGGCAGCCTCCTCTTCCAAAGGAGTTCCTGCTGTGGTTCCCTCAGGAGCAGTTTGGTTTAGATTTGACCAGGGAGGTTGTCTGAGCTCTTGATTCATGTAGGGCTGAGGATGAGGAGCAAAGGTTGGAGAGAAGTGAGAGAAGCTATAGATCATGGACTGGCTGTCCCCAGTGCAAGATGAAATCTTGCAGTTGATGTTGATCCTGCAGAGTAGGAGGCAGCTGAGAGGAGGAAGACAGAGTCCCCAGTACAGATTTGGTCAAGAAAGAGGCCTGGGGCCAGAGGATGGCTGGAGAGAAGTGGAGTGAGGCAGGTGTCTGGTGCTTTGCATGACGGATGTGCTCCCACAGAGCAGCGTGGAGAGCGTGGTCCTGAGATAGCAAGAGCAATCCAGAATGGCTTCCCACCAGCACACGTTTTTATTCCAAGATGTCATGTTTTCATTTCTGGTTTGTCTTCAATTGGCAGCACTTCCTGTGCATTCAAGTGTCCGTTCCTTGTATTTGAAATTGTCGGTTCATGATGTGGCCTACGATTTGTTTTTCTTAATATTAACACCTAGTTATGAGGTGCATTGTGACATTTTAGTGCATGTATATGATGCATAAGGATCAGATCAGGGTAATTGGCATACGTATCTCAGATATGTAGCACTTCTTTGTGTTGGAAACATTCAAAATCTTCCCTGCTTGCTATTTTGAAATATTTAATTAATTGCCACTATAGTCAACCTACTGTACTGTAGGATGATGGGTGTTATTCCTCCCAGCCAATTGTGATTTGCTCATAACCTTTTGAATGCACTCCCTTTGAGGAACCTCCTTTCTTTGATGAATGCCTCTATTATTCTTTCATGGTACCAGAAACTTTTAGCAATGGGAACAATGGTCTAAATAACCCCACAGTTGGATTCCTGTGTACATACAAACAGGACAGGTCCTTGCAGTGATGCCTAACGGGACACGTTCAGGAGTGTTCTTCACAATACCGTGGAAGGCATCAGGGACTCCGCTGCCCACTACTGGGTGAGCAAACAGGTCAAGCATTGAAACTGAGAGGTAAGTACTTGGAAGTTCAGGTCTGAAGGTACATAGAGCAGCATGGGTGGATCTTAGAATGATGGCACTGTGAGAAACAAGTAAGAAACTAGTGAGATATATAAAGTACTATTGGTAGAATTAAAATACATGGCAAGAGCTAGAGGATGGCTCAGTGGTTAAGAACACTTGCTGGTCTTCCAGAGGACCTGGGTTCGATTCCCAGTGTCCACATGGTGGCTAACAACCATCCGAAACTCCAGTTCCAGGGAATCTGACACTCTTCTTCTGGTCTCTGCAGGTATTTTACCCACATGGTGCACATACATGCAGGCAAAACACTCACACACATAGAAAAATAAGTAAAATATTAAAATATAAAGCACACAGCAAACACTAGACATTTCAAAACATAGGAACACATGTTAGGATTGTTATCTATGGTGAGTAAAGAGAAGTGGGCCAAAGGGATTAAAAAAAGAAATGAGAGAATTGAGTGGGTCAGTGATCACATTACTTGAATGAAGAAATATGCTCAATTAACCCTCTGTACCCAGAACAGAAAAGTCATATTTTGATTGACACATTTTCCTTCTAGTTATTTTTTGAAGTTAGATATAATTTCAACCAAAGAATTCGCAAATTTCAGAAATAGAAAGGTTGATGCAGATCAGAAGCCAGGGTGGAGAAGAGTCCAAAAGCCACAACAGTGCAGCAGCTCTAAAAGCCGGGGTCCAGAGGAGAGTGAAAGTTAAGCACTAAGGAGAGAAAAATAAAGGAAGGGCCCTTCCTGTTCTGTCTCAGACAAGTAGGTGACACTCTCAACTCTGTCCCTAGTATGGGGACTTGGTGACTGAGAAAAAGGAACAGCAGGAACAGAAGGGGCCTCATTCCTAGATCGTCTCTGGAGCTATCAATCAGCCTACGGATCGGGAAGCACGGTATCTAGGATGAGGCTGAAATTGTGGCCTGGGGAGTTCTCTGAGGGTCAGCTGTGGAAGTACGGGACTGCAGTGTCATGAGCTGCTGCAGAGACTTCACAGTCATTTTACAGTTGGAGACTTGGATTTTAAAATGAATCAGTGATGTAGCACAGTTGACGCCTGGATTATGACCAAACCCCACTTGCCTGTACTATGGAGATTGTGACAAATACTTAGTTGGGATACCAAAGGCTGTTTTATCAGCTCTGGAACCTCCAAGCCACATGGGGACTACAGTTGAAGAAATGGTGTTTACTTCTTAGAGTTGGGGTGAATTTACTCACTCTAGTCTGGAAAGCAGGGTACCCCTGTAGTGCCCACCTCCAATACTCTTTTGATGCTTATTTTATCTACTGAATTTTCTTATCCTGCAGCTTGCTTGCTATTGCCAGAGTCCATCTAGAAATGGGACCCGTCTAGTGCCTGCCTTCTTGTCTCCCCCCACCCAGACTTCCATACCTTAGGGAACCTTCCTGTCTCAGCCCAGTTCCTAGCTGCCTGTTTAGGATTAACCTAGTAGCTCACACTGCTGAGTTCTGACTGTCAAACTGGGCCTCTTGGCATAAATGGTGACCCTGTGCTGGGCTACATTCCACAGTGGAGCTAGTTCTTTCAGCAGATGCTCTGGTGGGATGCCAATATTACCCTTTAGGACATATGTTCATTCTCTACCTGCTGCTGGCAGAGTGCTAGTAAATGCCCTCC